TTTGCTCTATGTTTAAAAATCACGTATGAGTGAGTACATGTGATAGTTGTCTTTTTTTGTCTGAATTACCTCACTCAAAATAATGTTTTCTAGCACCATCCATTTTCCTGCAAAATTCAAGATGTCATTATTTCTCAGAACATTTATTTTTAAGAATACAGACAAGCAAATGTGTGTTTTTGAAAGTCAGGATGTTTTTGGCTGCTTTCTCTAAACTCAGTGTGAAAATACTGAGACACTGGATAGATAGTCTCAACTACATCTACAAAGGTCCGGCTGTTGCAGTTTTTGAATGCCAGATTGATTATGGCTGAGATGAGTATCTGCTAGTTATTTCTAGTAAATTTGTCATTTGAAAGCTAGGAGTCAAGGAGTGTCCATTGTGGGTTAGAGCTGAGAACTAAGTCATCGACATGAAAGATCGATGTTCAGTCAACAGTCCGATGTGGTTCCCCCCACTAGTGTAAAGGGCCAAGCAGAAAAATTAAAAACAAGAAAAAAAAACCTCTGTGTGTGTGTGTGTGTGCGCGCGCGCGCGTGTGCGGTGTGTGTCTGCTCACGTATTGGGCGCGGCAGGGGCGGGGAGAGTTTAGAATGCAGTCCATGCCTGGAAAGACACACTCAAGAAGGAGGCCGAGTGAGGCGGCACATGCCTGTGATCTCAGTATTCTGGAACATGGGACACAAGAGGACCTTGAGTTTGAAGATAGCCTGGGCTACATAGTGAGACTGTGTCACAAAAGTGGGAAGAGACCAGGGGGTGAGAAAAGGAACAAAGGCAAACCTGTGGAACAGGCTCAGCCACAGGCAGCTGCTCTTGGAAGCTATGCTTTTTTTTTTTAATTGTTAAAATCTTCCCCTTATTGGTCCCCTCCTGACTCCATTCTTCTTCTTTTTTTCCTTTGGAGACAGAGTCCCACTATGTAGTGCAGTCTGGTTTCAGCCTCTCTAGCATCGGGGTTACAGGTGTGCCCCCTCCACGGTTCTTATCAGTGTTTAGACATAGCTGAATTGTTTCCTATGTTCTTTATATGGCAGTGTGAACCTATGCAACTGTGGTTTGGGTGGCATGGCCTGCCCACAGTTAGGTTTTTCTTTTCCCAGTGGTCCTTCTCAAAAATACAACTTCGGTTCTAAACCAGTATGCAGAATCTAGGGCAAGTGTTTTGGAATGAAGATCTATGATATTTTAATCCTTTGCATGCAAATGGGGCGGATCTCTATTTCCCATGCTTGCTAAAGAACATCTGTTTGGAGCAGAAGATCACAAGCAGAACTGCCCAGCACAAACTGTTGGTCGATCTGCTCATTTTACCCCTAGATCTAGCGTTCTGTGCTTCGTGGTGCACAGCTAGGTTTGCCTGATGGAAGGGAGGGACAGAAGAACTCCTCCCTGCCCTGTGTCTGGGCAGTAGCTGTTTCTCCTTTCATCGTGGCTCCTACTGGATGGCACCTTCTACATCTCTCACTGGTTTCCAGTAACTTCTCCCTCCCTCATTATACCAGGTGCAGGAGGAAGAACAGCTTCTGAGGCCTCTTCCGCCATCCCTTCACCCTGTCACCCCTCTGTAAATATCCCTTTCATTAGTCATTCCTCCTTTTTCCCTGAACGTGTCATCATTTCCTACCTGAATCATCACTGACTTCCACTTGACTCTGCAAATTTTCCACATGGTACTGACATACATGGGTTGCAGAACTGGAATTCTAAAACTGACCTCGAATACCACATATATTTCATAGGAAATACAACCACAATTCAAGAAAAATATTTATAGTTGTTTTTTTAAAATCACATAAGTTGCCAGGATAAGGAAGGAATGTTATGAAAACAGCAGTGTCTGACACAAAGCTTTTGTCTATATGGAAATCGGATTGCAGCTTTTGTGAGTTGCTAAATACTGCTGCCTTCAGGTGATCAAATGCCTTCTGTTTGACTTTGTTTCGACGGTTTGGTTTTGAGATAGGGTCTCACCATGTAGCCCTGGTTGACCTAGAGCTCAATATATAGACCAGAGGATCTTACATCAAAATGATTCTTTTACCTCTGCCTTGTAAGTGTTGGGGTTAAGGGTGTGTGCCACCACACCCCACTGATGAAATGCTGTTTAACTTAGAGTCTGTTGTAGTGCTGCTCAGTGATTGGCGGTATGTCACGAGTGCACTCAGAGATGACGTACGGTGGACATACAGTGGAGAGGAATGCTCTTTACTGAGAAGCACAGGCCCGTGACCCTGCACAGACAAATGTGTTTTTTGCAGAGGGAAATACATCTCTGTGCATGGCCCAAGTAGGAGCCCTTCCCAAGTCTGGAAAATAATTAGGTTTGGCTTAAGTTAAGTGAAATAAATAAACCTTGTCCCAAGTGAGAACTAATTGCTCACCTCTGCCTTTCAAAGTTGTCAAATTCTAAGCCAGAGTGTGTTGTTTTCTTAAAAATTTCAAATAAGAGCTGTCTTGACCCTAGCATTAGCACAACCCTCCCATACCCCTGCAAGTAAATTGACCCTGGGGAGAAGAGGGTTGAAGCTTAACAAGAGATGTTGGGCATGGGATGATTGGTCACCCTGGTTGAAACCTGTGCCAGCCTGGGCAATTTGGGGTTGGTAGTTTCTAGAACCTATTGTCTTGGTTCTTTGGTTTGAAATGGTTGTATCTGGAGCACAGGGCTGCTGTAAGTTGTCTTGGTTCTAATGTTCTTGACATTCAGGTCTTCTGCAGGCTTTATAGCAAACTTGGTTCTCCATCAGATCTCTAGAGAGCAAAAGCTTCAACTTAACAGCCATACTTCCCAGATCTTTCTTGGAAAGGTGACCAGGGTCACACTGAACCATCTTGAAAGAGCCCAGCACAGAGCAGACCACTTGGCTCCATTCCAGGACACCTTAACTTAAGGCTGGCATTCTCGGGTGAATATTCACTTGACATTTTTCCAACCATTGACAGTTGGAAGTAAAAAACAAAATCAGGGTTTCTTTCCTCAAAGTGAACCGTGTACTATGTCAAAGTAAATGCTGCTTCTCTCCTCTCCCTGGAAAATGAGTCAGTCATGGAAACAGGCATCGTCAACGGGACAGGGCCGCCAAAGAGGAAATTGTCAATACCTTCTAGGTATTATTTTTTTCTAAGTTGCCTTTGAAATGTCGTGAACAATAGGTGATTTTTGGATAAAGTTTTGGTATTCAGATTCTTTTATGTGTAAATTGGTGCAAATGAATCAACAGAATTCAGTCACTAACATGCAAGGAACAGAAGCACACAAGGAAATGGAGTCCTAGAGACTGATTCGTTCTTAAATAAATGGCTTAACAGACCTGAGGAGATGGCTCAGTGGTTAGAGCCCTTTTGTGCAAACATGAGGACTAGAGTTTGGATACTCAGAACCCACATAATTTCTGGGCTGGCAGAGAGAGGACCCCCAGAGCAAGGTGGCTAGCTAAACTGGTGAGCTTATACTGGTGAGCTCTTCATTTGACTGAAGGATTCGACCTCAATGAATAAAGTAGAAAACCCATGAAGGATGATTCCCAACAATGTATGCATGTACACATACAAAAAAAATGCATGCAAGCCATGCTTAAAATTTGCCATAATAATTAATTAATAAATAATTTAAGTGGCTTAAATTATGATATTGTGAGCTTCTAAGAATATCATTTTGTTCCCATTATAATATGCCCATTTCAAAAAATTCTCAGGCATTGCTCTGGAACGGGTGCAGGGGCACAGTGTTATCTGGTAAAAAGAATCAAAATTCCAGATTCAAAATAGCCAGAATTTTATGCCTGAGGATCACACGGCAGGCCTCATTGTTCCCTGGGCATAATTTCTTGGCATGAAACCCTGGGTGGAGGGGGTATTTATTTAGACCTGTCTAGATTTTAGTTGTTAAATTTTGCCTGCCATGCTTAAAGTTATACAAAGGTGAATCATTTATTCATTTTATTAAAAGTAAGAGCTAACTTGATACAGACAATTTGTATCAGAGATGCTTAGGTATTTGATGTCTTTCTAAGTGATCACCAAGTTTGATAAACGGCTTTGAGTAAACAAGGAAAGCTGAGAAACAATTAAATTTGAAAAAAATCAACCATCCTATAATTTTATCTGCCCTTCAATCTGCCCTCCCATTGACCATGTTAGAAGACTGAAAATTGAAAGCAAAATTCTCTTTGAATATCAAGAACTCCACTGAATATCTTAAAACTTAAATTTACAACAAACACATATTTTAAAAACTTTCCAAGAATTAATTTGAGCTGGGTAATGGTGGTGCATGCCTTTAATCCCAGCACTTGGGAGGCAGAGACAATCTCTGTGAGTTTGAGGGAAGCCTGGTCTACAGAGTGAGTTCCAGGACAGGCTCTAAACCCTGTCTTGAAGAACAAAACAAAACAAAACAAAACAAAACAAAACAAAAAGCCCAAGCAAAACAAAATGAAATAAACAAAAAAATCCAACCCAACCCAAACCAACCAAACAACCCCCCCCCCCCCAAAAAAACCCTAATTTGATTTTTTTCAATTTTCATTTCCCTTACAGACACCACGCCTATGCTAACCGCAAACTGTTCCCGGAGAATAAGTACACTGAAGACTTCCACTTTTCCATATTTTCTTGCATAGTTTAGTTTGTAGCATTTCAGATGTGTTTATACCATAACTCTGACTAAAATGTACACGCTCACTGAAATACTTTAATGCTGAGTTTACACCATGCCAAATGTTTGGAAATACATTGAGATATGACTCACAGTTACATGATTTCTTCTGTAGTATGAGTCAAAATATGTTCCTTAAATAAAAATACCGACAGAAGAGTTTGCCGTGACCCAGCCAGTCATCTTGTAAAGCGGACGCGTATGTTAGTCATGTTCCTAGTATCAACATCACAAGGATTCCAGTATACCTGAAGAATGGACTCGGGGTTTCAGATTTTGATTTTAAAATCTGGCCTCAACTGTGAAAAAGCTTCCCAAACAAAAACTGAAAAGCATTCATTAGAATTAATTCTTTTACCATTTATTTTTGAGAAGGAAATTTCTAGTCTTCTTCAGTAGCATCATCACAATAGACAACACAGAATAAATAACTTGATACCAGGACAAGGCTCCGAGGGGAAAGGTGAACCAAACCGGCCTTAACCAGATCAGTGCAGCCCTCTCAGGGTGGCACAGTCGTGACTGGAGAGGACTCCCTCAGGCACAAAGTTACAACGTTGCAGTAAATGGGACTAATGACTTTCAAGTTCATGGTCCAAATAGTGTCCATTAAGCAATCACAAGACAGCAACTTGTCTGTCTCGATTGCTTCATCGCTTGCACGAAGTGACTTCCTAGAGAATGAGTTTCGTTTGGCCTGACTGCACACTGCATTTATAACAGCAGTGGCATCAAAATTTAAAACAGGAGACAGTAACCACGTAGAGCTTTAAACAAATTACAAAAGCACATGCTTGGTTATTCAGCAGGAAAGCCTAAATCAACTGGGTCTTAGACGCAGCTGGTTGTCCTACAAAGGCCACATAGCATGAGCTGTAGACATCCTTCTGAGATCATCCGCGAAGGGCCTTGCAGTTTCATTTTGTTCCTACGCCAGCTCTTCACGTTTCTCCAAGGAAGCTGTTTAAAGGCCTTTGCAGAGGCCCCTGTGTAAAGTGCATCCTCATAACTGTCTACAAAGGTCGGTCTGTTTAGTGGCACTGGACAGGGCAGAACAGGAAGTCTGTGAAACCTCTTGTGTTCTCAATGAAATCCGGCAACAGAGGACTGAACGCATTAGTCTCAGGACCGGTGGCCTAAGGATGGCAAAGACCCAAGGGTCAATTATAGAGTTAATTGATAAAAATCTAAGAGCTTGGAGGTCCAAGTTTTCCTTTCGGGAAGAGGTTTCATTCACATAAGCAAAGATCTGAAAGGAGAGAGGAAAACAATGTTAGTTTTATACCGTAAGCAAGCTGACTTAGATCCCATCATCTCCTGAGATTCAGCCTTGTTTTGTGTAGTAGCAGCAAGTGGAAGGGTGGGTGGAAAAAAACTTCTATGTAAATCGTAACTTAATCATTTTTTTTTTCTGTGAACTTAATGAAAGCAAGTACTCTAAGGGTTACAATTAACATTGGCATCATACAAAACTTTCTAACCTTGTCCCTGAGAATAGAGGGAAATTAACAAACTTTTCTTGGCACCTAGAAAAGAATCTGCTTTCCCTTTAGATGATCTCATTATATAGCCCAAACTGACCTGAACTGCATGACCTGCCTATAACCTCTCAGGTGAGGATTGCAGGTGTGAGCCACTGTGCTTTGCCAAATGGCATATTTTAATAATATCTGTAGTAATTTTTGTTATTTTATGATAAATATGATGATGGAAAGTCCCGGGCGGCTCACGGAGTCCGGCAAGGATGGCCGTGAGTCCCTGCAGTGCCATGCGGCCGGGGAGTCAGGCGGATAAAAGGCTCATAGGACATAGTATTATTTAAAGAAGAGGGAGACATTTATTGCTTAAAGGAGAGAAAACAGAGAGAAAACAAAGACACAGGTACATACGAGATGAATACACACACATATACACACGTGCACGCAAGCACACACACACACACACACACACACACACACACACACACACACGCTAGAGAGAGAGAGAGAGAGAGAGAGAGAGGGCGGTGGGGGGAGGTCCAAAGTGGCTAGGGTGGGCGTGGTTAGCTCTTAAAGTGAGCCAATGGAATAACAGTAATGATGATAATATTTGTAGCTTCTTTTTGTCAATAGCCCATTATGTGTGCTGTGAAACACAGTGGGTCATTAACCTGCTTTCTTTGTAGTCCTATGGAAGCCATAGCAGATAAGGAAGTAAGTTTCAGAAATGTTATGAATAACATGTCACACTTCCAAATATCTGGCTTGATGTGACTATCACGATTCAGCAAGAGAGAGCAACCGCGCACATCAGTTGGAGAACTGGTTCTGAGTAGTGCACTGCTTTGACCTGCATTTAACTCTGCCTGTAACTTTAGTATCGTGGGCAAGGAACTGTGAGCCTGTACTCACAGGTCATCAGAAGCAACTCTTCAGCTGTGCCAACAGTGCTCCTGTAGGTGAGTTCTGGCCTCACTTCACCAAGAAGAACACAGAGGCACCTAGGAGTTAGGTCACTTGCCATGGACCTCAGGCTGGTTAGTAGCCTAGGAAGGTTCCAAATCCAAGACTTCTGGTACTGGTATGGCGCTCAGTGCGTGTTACATCCAGGTCAGTGCTGCGGCAGGAGCCTTCAGAATTATGTCTTAAGCTCTGGGAAGTGGACAGACACATTCTTACACGTGGATCAACATTTTCAGACGGGTATTGGTGCTCTTATTTGACTCGGTGCCGCAGATTGGCAGGGAACAGTATAGACTTGGTAGCCATACCTCTTCATTCCAGCCTACAGAGAGAAAGAGTTCGAACGTGGACCACACCTCATCATCTCACTAACACAGTAATTCTTAGTGCGCCAGGGATCCTCTGGCCTAGTCTGCATCTTAGGGAAGCCATCCACTTTTTCTCTGATACTTTATCCCAAAACAACTCATTCCTTCCCTTTCCCCCGTACTTACTCTGCAGCATCTGGGAACTGGATGTACCAAACAGATTGGAGGGCGAGAGGAAAGTAGTCATCTTTGGGTTGCTTATGTTAGGACAATAGCGGGAAGGTTTGGCAGCCAGAGGTGTTTATGCCAGAGAATCTTGGCATGAGGAATGGAGAAAAGAGTTGGCAGATGAGTAAGGAAAAAGAAGAATTGATGGTGGGCTTCTCAGACCGCAGAGAGAAGAGTTAGGTAGGGCTGTGCAGTGGGGCACCAGTCTTCGAGTCTGCTGTGCTATTTTGGATGCAACATATTCAGTTTCAGTTACAGTTTTTATATATCATGATATTTTATGACGTGAATTCTTTTCTTTATGGTTCGGGGACTTGAACTCAGGCTCTCACATATGTTTGGCAAGCATTCTACCACGAGCTACATTCCCAACCCGGTTGTGAGGTTTAGAGATCTAAAAGTCTCTAGTTGGGGAGAGAATGCCCCTCATTGGGATGACTAATTATTGCAACCAACAAAGGACTCCACAATGAGTATGTCTTTGCTACACACATTACTAACCAGTCCTGAGATATACCTCCTCCATAGACCCCTCAACTCATAGTAATGTTCTCTCCTTAACGACCCAGGGTCCTGTTACCAGGCAACTAAGGACTGCCTTGTAGCTGACAGCCTGTCATAATTATCCAAGTTTGCCATCCTAATCCCTTCACCTTGACATGTCTTTCCTGCAGAAACCCCAATAAAGACCATAGCCCAGACCTTGCCACCCCCCTGACTCTTCTGCGTCCTCACCTATGTATGCACTGGCACTGCCTGAATTTCTCATGAATCTCTTCTTGGAAATGTACTTGACTGACCTTAATGTAAAAAAAAAAAGTGCCTATTACTACCACCCACTGCCAAACTCAAAGTGGACCTTCCTCCCTCCCTTTGGCTGATCCTCAGTTCTTAACGAACAGTTGACATAGGAGAGACACAGGAGTTTTGGTGGTGCCCTAGAATTTAAATTTGGAGGTTGGTGGGAATGCATTCGCCTTCTGGCATTGACGACCTGTGAGAAAATGCCAGGTCTTAGTCTTATGTATCCAGTGAGTTAACTGCTTGACCCCTGCCCCCGGTTTTGCAAAGACTATGGTACATACTGAGCGATGCGGACAGGAACCTGCTGATTCGGCCATGTCTCAGGCAGCCACCCTTGGAAAGCTCCATCCTGGCAATGGTCAGGGGCTGTTATTTAAACTATTCTCCTATCTTTAATCCTATACAAAGTGGGTTTAGAATTCAAGAGCAAATGAACGCTTCACTTGGCTCATCAGTGAAATCATCAGGGAAGATGTAAAACATTCAGTTGCCTTGCTTCTTTGGCATAGTCAGTCTTGGCTAAGCCGTGGGCTTCAGTGGCGGGGGTGATCTGATAACCTCCGCACAGGAGTGCAGACTCATTTTAGAGAGAAGGAAGCCGAGGCTAGGAGACTAGTTACTTTGCCTAGGGAGTCAGACTGCAGTGATGGAGCTCCATCTCCCGTGTCAGTCCTGAGGCAGTATCTGGGCACGTGCATACAAAACCTTTGAGACACGGCTTCCTGTCGGATTCCCGAGTGACCACCTGACACTTCTGCTCAAGGGTGTCATGAAGGCCTGTGACTATCCCTCTTCTCTTTAGAGACGGAGAAACTGTGTCCCCTTTTCAAAGTCTCTGTTCGGCTCTTTTCCGTGGGACTTCCCTTTCATCAACACTTAACAACAGCCAACTTGCGGGCAGCACGTGCTCTCTGTTCATCTGCCTTTTGAAAGATGTTGTGGTCTCCTAGCTACAGGCACTGCACAATTAACTCTTAATTTGTTGTGGTGGTGGTGGTGGTGGGCCATGCTTTAAAGAAATCCCTTCTCCCTAAACATGTCTGGGGTACATGGAAACTGAAGCCTACTTTGCTTCATAAGGAAAACAAAACCAAAGCAAAAAGCCGGGGCATGGCTATGGCGCCACAGCATGAGAACGGCCTTGGCACTGTGTGTCTTGGAAGTGCAAGGACGACTCACTGCTGACGTCTACAGCTCTGGGTTGACACAGCCCAAGACAGTGGCTCCGAGGAAACGATGGACAGCAGATTCACCCACCCAGGAGTCCCCTAACACAGATGGTTTAGGTGTGATCCATGTGAAGGGCCAGGAGGGAGTCAGACCGATCTCTGACTCCCTATAGGCAGACAGATAGGGAAAGGAGCCATACATACATAATATTGGCAAACTTCCAGCTTTTTCTTTATACACATGACTGAAGACAAAGACCTAAAGTTCTGTCTTTTCCCCCACTAGTCAATCCCCTTCCCCACTACTGCACCCCTGCTGATGAACCAGCAAGACAAGTTTGAGGCTGGAGCAGGGCACATTTACTTCAAACTTGTGGAGCTAATAGCCTCCTTGTCTTTGGTCAGATGGAGCAACCCTGAGTTGGGGAAGGCTCCTCACAGACCCTGGAACCCAGGCTTCCTTCTGGGAGAGGCAGGGCTTCAGCTTCCCCAGCTCATCTCTGCTGTATGTGTGTGTTTCCTCTCCCCAATAAATGCCTTTCTTCACCTGTTGACTCTGTCTGCTGTGTCCGAGACCTTTCCCTGCTGCACCTGTTACACTGGAGTCTCCCTGCCTTTAAATTTTCTCATTGGCAGAGAAAACACACTCATCCAAGGCCCCAGACAGTAGCACATGTACCGCCCATGGAGCAGAAATCAACAGCCCTTGTCCACAGGAAGTTTCAGCCTTCCCTAACTGCTTTCCCTTTCTCTGGCCCTTCATATTACACAAGTGTCCTAGTTTCACAGTACTTAACCCTGTTTTCAATTTAGGGAACAGTTTAGATAGCAAAATGCTGTCAGAAAAATGCAGCTGAGTGAGCCCCAGTGATGTGAACTGTGGTGCAGTAGATATAAGCTCAAGATCTGAATGGGGATTAATGGTCAGAAACTCAAAATGGGACAGGAGAGGCCAAGCACACAGAGCAAGCTGTAGATTAACTGAGAGTTAAGCCTCTACCTAGAGAAAGGGTTGTTGACTGGTGGTCCTGAAATATGTTATCTATTTCGTTTTAAGTTCATACTTATGCCAAAGAAGAAGGAAGTGATCTCAAAAGGCTGTGCTACACGTTTTTTATTGTTGTTGTTGTTGTTGTTTTTGTTTTGTTTTTTTTTTTAAGCTGAAGTCCTGGCCTGAAATAACAGTGAAGATCCACCTAACTGTGTAGACAGAAAGCTCTAATTCTCTGTTGGGGGGGGAAAAGACGATGCTTCTTACAGACTGTATTTTAAAAACCACCACAACTGTGTCTGTATTTACAGTCACCACTGCAGAATAGCAAATTGGTGAAGCAAAAGATGTCAAATGAAAACACTCACACAGAGGAATGTTCTCTTAAAAGGAAATGTGTGTTTCAATGGTTGCAACAATTGTCAAACATCACTAATGATGTCTCAATGATGAAGGGCATTCCAGCTGCTTATGAACATTCACTTACATATTACCACACTAAGTTCTCTGTGGGCACCCAGAGACTTCTAGGTTTCTCTTCCATTGCTACCTGAAGTTTATAGTTTATATCCTTGTGACCTTCACCACCTATTTACCTGACATTTGGCACAAGGGAAACCAGGAATGAACAGGAAACTCCAGGATTGTTTGCTTCAAATTTTTCTATAGTGTGAAGATCAAATTTCCACTAATCAGATTTGCCTAGAAATCCTAACCCTGGAGAATTTGTAAAAATGAAGGTATTTTTTAAATGAGTCAATGGCAGGTTCTTGAAATTTTAGAACTGAATAAAATGCATAAGCGCTTTATCCTAATGGCATGTGGAAACCAGTTTAAAATGACCAGAAGCTAAGCACAATTATCAAAGTGCTGAGAAAGGAGCTAGCTGGGCGAGGGTTGGAAACTGAGAAACAAAGAGTATTTGAGACAAGAATGAAGGTTCATATGTTTCCTGTGCGCTGTTCCGTTTCAGGAAGAAAAACAGCTTCTATTTATCACTGAAATGATGACAACAGCTGATTAACATAAGGAGGAATTTATTAATTTATACATAGTGAATAAATAGTTTGGACATGTTGTTGGTCTCATGTATGATTTCATACTGGACAACCAAAGTCCTAAGCACCACATGCTTTTTAAGTCACTGAAGAAATGTTTTATGGGCATCAAAGGAAGGTTTTATGTGAGGGCTAATCTGATTATTTCTTAATTTAGACTAGCATTTACACTAGCCAATCTCCTAAAATCTCAGTCCCAGGCTTGTATTTCACAGGACTGCGGAGAAGGAAAGTGAAGCAACATGATTGTATTAACACGGGGGGGGGGGGGCACAGTGCTAACATGCTGTTTTAGTTTTAAAGCTAGTAAAAGTTAGAATAAAGCGACAAGGTGGTCCAAATATTTATTATGTATTCCCAATTCTCTTGTGAAACCATAATTGGATCTTCTCCCATGTTACTCTTAAAATGAGAGCTTTCTTTTAGATACTATTACTATTAATACATTGCATCCCAGCTCTGCTACTCCCTAACTGTAGGCCCAGGAGGAAGTTACTTGACTCATCCTCACAATAAGATGCATCTTGGGGTTTGGTGTGAAGATAGTGAGTTGATGTAAAAATGCACACTCAGAACCCTAAGTCTTTAGGTGTCACAGTAGTGGTACACGAGGCTGAACTGAATTCATCTCAGAGTACCGAGCATTTTTATTCTTCCATTTTGAGAGTTTTAGTTCCTGAACTTTGGAGGCCCTAGACTGACATCCTAGATGGAAGGACTCCACTCTGCTCATAACCTGGGACGGTGGCTGGTATTAGCAGTTCATTACTAACTCTGGATTTCCTGAGTCCCATCTTTTTCCATGGACAGAGAACTGCAGAACTGACTGGGGTCCCACCAGCTCTGGCTGTGAATGCTACTTTTTGCTGGCTAGAGGTCTGACACACTTTTGAGGAGCGTAGAAAGCAGTTCTTGCTATTCTGAATAAAAAATGGCCAGTGATCCCAAATATAAAACACTGTACCTATAAAGCTGAAGCCTAGGAGCCATGTTGGTTTCTAAACCACAACATTTCACGACACACACTCCTGCTGGGGTGCCTAGGGAGTTGCTACCTTCCACAGCCCAGCTCCATCTTATTCCCCACTAAGTATAACTTACCAATTCAGACCATCTGCTCCAAGCACAGAGCTACAAGTGTTAGGGTAATGGGGAGCAGAGCAAAGAGAACATGGCTGAGAATGGGGATTCTTTGGGGATGCAGTTCATATCCGTTCTCCCCAAGGAAGAGTAGATGATCCAGTCAGAAGCAGGAGACAGGAGAGCTATTTCTACAGCTTCTACAAGTACCATTTTTGGTTAGCCACCATCCATATCATCATTTCCCAAACCCCCAGTTTATAGCTCTCCACGAGGGGCCAGAAGGCTCCAAATTCAATTCTGCTTCCACATTAGACTTTAGGAGCTCAGGATCTATTTTTAGAACTAATTTGTTTAGAACTAATGGTCCCTCTAACTGCCCAGCACCCACACTTCTACCCTGACCCTGCCTCCATTGCCCAGGAAGCCCTTTCTCTGCTTTCCTGAGATGTACCAGCTGTTGCTACATGTTCCTTCGTGTGCACCAAGTGCACAGCTACAGAACGGCGAGCATCTATCTATATTCCTGACATTGACATCAAGGGAATATTTTGTAAGAGGTTACAAGGGTCTCCTGTGAGGGACGACAAAAGCACTATGTAACAGTTGGTTCTTTCCTCTCAGTTTCATGACCACACAGACTTGTACTCTAATATGTAAACTGGTGAGCCTGTCAACTAGATTTTTGACCTTAAAATTCCAAAAGTCAAATGCAAGCGGCTGTAAACTTCTACACCAAGGACTCTCTGAATGTTATAGGCCGGCAACTACATTTTGCCTAGGAGAAATGAAAGCACCAAGGGATGGGGCATCAAGCCCTGCAAACTGAACTCCAGTGGTCGGCTTATAACAGGACAACCGTCCTAACCTGGAAGGACTCCCTCCTCTTCAGTTCCCATCCAACCCAGGGAAGGGACCATGGAGAAGGTTCCTGTAGGGCATAGCAGAAGTACTGACTTAGGAAAGTTCATGCGTAAAAGCTGGGGGCGGAAGGAAGTGGGCAAAGGTGGAAAGGAAAAGCAATGATGGCAATAGACCTTCATAAATTAGGGCACTTTGTTTTTCAAGTTGCCAATGAGTGCCCGGAGGTAGAAAGGGTAGGTGAAGGGAGCTTGAGGCAGCTGCATGCTGCTGGGCTGTGGAAACAAACGAACGACTTACTGTGAAAGGCAAGGAGCAGATGGCGAAGGTGATGGTCATAATGGCCAGGAGAATGAGGTGGTCCGTCTCCTCCGCCATCGAAGTCCTTTCTCCTCTCCTGCGCGACCCAGGGCCACCCAGGCCACCGCTGGATGATCCACAGCGGCTTCTTCTGGCCCGACGGTGCATGCGGATGAGGTTAAGAATGACGCTAAAGTTGCAGGCGAGCACCGCTAAGATGAGCAGCAGCAGCACCGTGGCGTAGAGCTGCAGGTATGCAGTCCGCCCGTGCCGGATAAAGCACCATGTCCCGGGACAGTACTGGACGTACTCCCCGTAGTTGAGCAGCGGCAGGGAACAGAAGAGCAAAGAGACAGCGTAAATGACTGGCAGCACCGCCAGGCCCCCGCGACGCGAGAAGCGGCGCCGGTAGAAGTAAGGGTGTCCGATGGAGAGGTAGCGCTCCAGGGCCATCGCGAAGAGCATGAGCATTGTGGCAAGACTGAAGAAAGTCATTGTGAAGGCGAAATAGGTGCACACACGGCTCTCGGGAGCCAGGGCCACCAGTGTCTGGTTCCGCGCATAGGAAGCCAGGACCACCGGACTGATGAGACAGGTCCCCAGCAGGTCGGTGAACACCAGCTCTGTCACCAGCACGTGGAACAAGGAGATAGAGGTCCTGCTGCCGGCACTACACCCTGTGTCCCCGCGCCAACGGCGTGCCAGCAGCGCCAGCGCAATAAGGTTCCCCAGAACCCCGGCCGAGAACATCACCGAACTGATGGCTGGGCTATCCTCCGGGTGGAGCCACTGTCTACTCTCGCAGAACTCTATCCGCCCGGAGTCTTTAGAGACATTACCCATGGTGGGGGGCTTGGAGGAGAGATACTCTCTCCTCCAGGCTGGTACCTGACAGCAAGAGGGTCTGAGGGCCCCGGTGCTCCAAGACACAGAAGGGAAAAGGGGAGGGACCGAAATCCAGAGCTCCCTTCCGGCCCCCAGCTCGCGCCAAGGGCCGCTTCGCCCGGGTCTCCCGCTTGCGCGCCCAGTGGCCACTTCCCTGAAGCATCATCAGGTCGCCCTCGAGGTTCCTGCGCCTCATCTGCTCTGGCTGCTGGGGAGAGCTTGCGGGGTAGCCCTCAACCCCATGCCCGCGCCGACTCGGGGCAGGTCCAGTAGTGGCTGCCAGGCTAGCAACTTCCATTGTTTGCGAGCTGTTGCTGGGGGTAGTGGTGGGGGAACAAGGCGAGACACACGAGCTGGGCTCTAGAAGGGGGTCCGGCGTCCACCCTGAGCTGACTTGTAGGGTCTTCATTCCCGCGGAGTATCCAGGATGCTTGCAGGGTCGTCTGACTTCAGCTCTGAAGCCCTTAGCCCTAGCAGATGCTGGGAACCAGTGCAGGGTAGTAAGGCTGAGGTAACAGGATAGCAAACTAACTCACCAAACGGAAGTTAGGAGGACCCAGTCCCGTGAGAGGTAAAGAACAAAGGAACTAAGACTTCAAGACAACTTGAAGTAAGAACGATATGAGAGAGGTTGTTGTTTTGCATTTTTCATTTTACATTCCCAAGAAGACACTCAACATGGGTGAGACAAAAACCGGAAGGAAGTGAAAGTAAGCCCGTTCATCCACAGAATGGGACCATACACACCACCACAGAGCGGCCTATTGTACAGTTAGTTGCTTTGAGTCAGTTACCAGCATTTTGTTTTTTCCTATGTCAACACTATAACAAATGACAACTTGCTTAAGCAACCTTAACAAAACAAACGGGAGAGGTTCTTGTGATCGTCTAGAGTCATGTTTGTGCCCATAGATCGAAACTGCGCTTTAGCGTTCCTCCACTCAAGCCAGTCTTGAAGAAACTGTTGATAGGCTGTTTAGCCGTTCATTTATCCTTTCACGGTCAGTTAACCACGAGGGCCTATCGAAAAGATTCATTCCTGGGAGTGTGTTGGTAACTGGCCAGTTTCACAATGGAGCTGACACGAATAGTTGCTTAGCATCTGTTGTCATAGTTACAGAGCAGCGAAAGCACACCGATGTTTTGAAATTTTCAAATCCAGCTTGACAGACAATGTAGGTAATCATATGCTACTTGAAAAAGCATATTTCACATGGGAAAAGAGACTGCTTCAAGACAGGTTTGCACGGGAGCCTGGTACAAAGAAAAAAGCAAAGGAAAGATGACTTGCAGAGCGCATCTTGCTTCCTTGACTTAGCTCACCATGATTCTGACTTGGGGACTGGAGGACAGAGAGAGGGTTTTCTAGCAAAATAAGGCAAACAGAATGTATTTGTGAGGCTCATTTTTTGCACAATAGCAGCTATTCACTCCAGTGCTAAACTTCTTAGGGCGTGGATGGAGTGGGTGTCAAACTTCTCTAGTTTTCTTTCAGGCTGCCAGCTGCAGGCCAGTAGCATCCTCAACCCAGCAGCCCAAAGTGAACTATTCCCCATCTCAGTCTTGTCCCATCTCATCCCAAGCGACTGTGTGAATGAGAAGAGTTGGTGTGATCCTGTTGCAGTTTTTTTCACTGTGTTCCTTTTCCAAATGCTTTTGTATGCTCTCCATTTTCATAGGCCACTTATAACCAAAGCCTCTTGTTGCACTATTTCTATGTATTTATCTGTAGCTTATCACTAGATGAGTGCATGGTGGCAGGACTCCGCTGACTTTAATGGATGCCAGAGAACAATTTCACAGCCTCATCCCAGGCGTTGCCTTTAACTTGCTGGTCTTCACCCCATCTCAGTTGTACACTGTGAGAAGATACTCACAGAGGTGTGTGGACAAAGCTAGTTTCTGATGACCAAGCTCTGTCCTCAAAGACAGCCCCTCAGACCCTAGGGAATAGACCCCATGCATGTAGGACAGCCTTGGGTAAACCTGGGGTGGGTAGAAGCTCCTGTGAAGCCTGGAAAGGAGCTGAAGGCAAACATTTAAGCAGGGAATTCGTGATCTCAGGTGCCAGGAAGTTTTTCTACAGTACAGGTGGCTTTGGATCTCAGTGACTAATCCCTACTTATGGGTGAATTTGCCACAAGACAAAGATCAAAGCCGGGTCCTCTAGTGTTGGGAACTCATATCTCACCAGTTTATTGGGCTACATGCTTTCAGTTGCTACGTTCTCAAGTTACCATTTTTGTTTGTTTGATTGTTCCAGTGTTTGGACAGAGAGAGAGGGAGCAGTTCTGCTGCATTACATGTTTCAGAAGTCTGGCTGGAGGTTTTATTTGCTACCCCTACTTCCTCTGCTAAGGCCATCATATTTGTCCCAGGAAATCAAGTCTCATCGTGTAGTTAAAGTGACTTCTTCCTGTCTCTAACTGTAGTGTCAGCGTCTCTCAGTACAATGTCAGTTTATCTAGAGTCTAGAATTTCTTAACAGAAAACATACTAACACCCTCAGTTCTAGAATTGAGCCATAAAGCTTTGCTAATTTTCAGTTCCTGTTTGTGAGCCATTGTATTTGGGGAACACCATGTGATTAGTAATTTTGTGTCAACTTAGCCAAGCATGGGGTGCTCAGGGGCTGATTAAACAGCCCGATTGTGTCCTGGGAGGGTGTTCTAAAAGAACAAAATATCCTCTCCTGTGGACTGACTAATGAAGTCCAGTGTAGGTGGGCCTCCTCTGGTCTGTTGGGGGCTGAACAGAACTAGAAATGTAGAGGAGGGTTGGTTCCCAGCGTAATCTGGGGCGTTGATCTGTCCTTTGCATTCCTGATTCTCAGGCCTTCAGAACTGCTTAGAATCCAAACCCTCCACTCTTCAGTTTCTAGACCTCTTCCAACAACAACATCAACTTAACAAGTAGACGCACATAGAGAACTGCGTGTAAGTTAAAGGCTGGGATACAGTTTGAGGAGGTTGTTGCCAGGCAGATTTGTGGTTTAAGTGTGAAGAACACTACTGATAAAAACATTATGTATCATATGATTGTGTATACAGAACACACGTACACAGACCCCAAAACTGTTCTATTTCTCCGAAGAACTCTGACAAATACACATTACTTGAAATCTAAAATTCATAGTTTTCATTTAATCTGTAACTCAAGGGCTTTGAAAGACAAGCTGCTGTAGGTCATTCTTCAAAAGAAGGCAAAGATACACATGAAGGAAAGGAGAACTACACAGAGGAAGCCGACATCAATACTCGTATGGTTCTATTTGTATTATTCACATCTTTCAAAACACCAAATCTTTGCTTCATGATTTCTTTGCATGTCTTATCAATTTGTTTTGAAGAGAGCTCTAAGAACACCACCTGTGCCCTGTAGTGAACTAGACAAGGGTCGCGTTGCTTCCCTCTAGCAGACAGAAATCACTGAAAATTGGAGAGATGGGATTTTATGAATGGTTTTCAGTGGCAGTTTACAGAGGACCAGTTTTTTTGCATGTGAAGTTTCTAGGTTTCCTGCCGATGGGTGCGGCCTGTCTCCAACTCTGTCATTCCCCATACTTTGGATTTGTGTAGCCAGGATCTTCCCCTTGAAGGTGCAGATTGCTTCCGAGGCTAGTCAAGATTCAGCCAGAGAAAGGTTCACTGTTAGCAATAAAGAAGGCAGAATTCATTATTCAGCGCAAAGCTTGCATTGCTCAGTAATCTAGTCAGTATTAATGGCAGTTTAAATTTAAATTAATTAAAGATAAAATTGTAGTTTCTCAAGGTATGTTTAGTCAGTCTGGTTCATTTCAAACCACATGTGGCCCTTCTACCGGGAAGCTGATACATAAAATACTTTTTTCATTTTAAAATTTATAGTGTTGCCTTAGGTCCTACCTGATGTGGAGATTGATGGGGGAGGCCACAATGTTTGTGGCTATATTTGGGTCTTGTTTTGAGCCTAAGTCACATTTAGGACAAGTTAGAGTGGCAGTCAGAGTGGAACTCTGGGTGTATAGGAGAGCAAGAGCAGACCAGAACTCTGAGGGTAATCGAGAACCCATGAAGGACTGAAGTCTTAGAGGATAAACAGGATCTGCATGTGTCTTTACAAATTTCAGCCTTGGTGGCATCAGTACCCCTAAGAAAAAGCTTGATGATCTAAAGATGTGGTTCCGGCTTGAGACTTGAAGATAACACGGATGGAGATTGAGGAGGTTCAAGTCCAGATGATGTTCTATGAAGCAAGAGCAGGTGGAGTGTATGAAAGCCACCCATGTGTCCGGGGCCTTACATTTGTTTCTTTTGAGCAGCGACACCATAATGCTGTTTCTTGGCTGCTTTTCAGATGTGACATGTCACTTGTGATCATCATAGACTGGGACCGTGCAAGGATTCTGGATGACAGTTTCTGTTTGGCTTGGATGATGTGAGCAAAGCTACCATACAGCTCCTCCACAGGTTCAGGCATTCTGCAGTGAAGGCAGGTCAAATGGAGAGACAGTGTCAGGACCTGCTTCCCTCCTCCAGGAACATTGAAACAGGCAAAGAAGAGGCTGAAAACAAGTTTTGGAGTAGTCAAAAACATTTGTTAACAATTCATTGAGAGAGAGAGAGAGAGAGAGAGAGAGAGAGAGAGAGAGAGAGAGAG